TCTCTCTCTCTCTCTCTCTCTCTCTCTCTCTCTCTCTCTCTCTCTCTGTGTGTGTGTGTGTGTGTGTGTGTGTGTGTGTGTGTGTGTATACACTGCTAGTGGCCAGAGCATGATCTGCCTACTCTTAATTTATTTATCCTTTCTTTCTTCTTCCTTTTCTTCCTTTCTTTTTTTTTTTTTTTTGATTTATTTATTTATTTTATGTATATGAGTACACCACCATTGCTCTCTTCAGACATACCAGAAGAGGGCACCAGACCCCATTACAAATGGTTGTGAACCATTATGTGGTTGCTGGGAATTGAACTCAGAACGTCTGGAAGAGCAGTCAGTGCTCTTAACGTTTACTATTCTGAGCCATCTCTCCAGCCCCCCCCTTTTTTTCTTTCTTTGACATATCTACTCTGCCTCACATTAAAAATTAAATAACAGCAAGACTTGTACCAAACATAACAAGGAAAGTAAATGATAATAAAATGTTTTCTGCCTACAACAACAAATTAAATCTTAACAAGACTATGTAACATATCTGTAAAGAAGAACAAATTAGCAGGGGGAAAATGTACTAAGTGGCATAGTGTAAATAAAAACAAAATGTTTTTGGAGTAAGACACAGAGAAGAAAATCTTTCATAGTTTTAATAGACAACGTTTGAAGAAGTAATATTTGAGCCAAATCTTGAATGACGTTTTCTCCATGATCTGACACTTACTGAGTTTCTCCCACATAAACAAGCCCTGGTTTTCTAGACAGGAAACAGCTCATTGAACTGCATTTGTCTTAACTCCTTGGCTGCTTTGAATGTGCTTATTTAGTAATCATGAGAACAAGCCACAAGTTAAAGAGTTGTCTTCCCAGGTAAGAAAGGTGAAGCTCAGTAAGTCGTGTGTAGAAATAGAAACAGCTGAGCTTCTCAGATAGCTCTTCATGACTATAAAGCTCATACCCTCGCCATACTCCATCCTAGTCTAAGAGCATGTACCATTGTATGTGTCTAGAGTAGTCTAATCTATGTAGGAACTTTCTAGACTTTATATCCATGAGAATGACTTCACAGAAGGCAGGGTGGCTGGGTACCTAACATTACATGAAGCGGAATGGTAGTTTGATTGGAATGGTGGTTGGATGGAGAGCCAGGGGAAAGGCTTTAGATGTGAATACATAGAGAAAGGCACAGAGTTTTCTAAAGAACAGTACATGAACAAACTTAGAGAATGGTTCACTTATTAAAGCTATGCTTGAAAAAGCCACATTTTAAAGAATTATTGATGGGAAAGAATTAACACAAAGTTATTCACTTTTACTAGGTTTTTTTCTTTTTCCCCAAAGTTATACTTTTTTATTCTGTCTACCCAAAATTGTGTCCTTTTAAGCTTTGATGCCTCCTGGAGTAGAAAAAAAAAAAAGTAATGTTAATGGGAAAAAAAAACCAGAAATTATGTCAGATAATGGTGGCACTCACCTTTACTCCCAGCCCTTGGAAGGGAGAGGCAGGTAGATCTCTGTGGATTCCAGGGCAGTGAGGGCTACCCAGAGAAACCCTATCTAAAAAAAAAATAAAATAAAATAAAGGGAGGAGGGGAGCAAAGAAGAAAGGAAAGAAGCAGAAATTATATTAATAGAAGCCTTAACATTTTCTCTTGATTTTTATTGCTAGCCCATCGTCTTCACTTACATCACTAATATGTATCACAAACTTCATCTGTCTAAAATCTTACAACTGATTTCACCCTTCCCACCCAAACCTGCTTTCTATACCTTTCTTGCCTTAATAAGTGGAAAATATTTGTAGTAGTGTGAATGCAAACCTTACTATCATGCATGACTATTTTCTTTCACAGTTATATTTAGTGATTATGTGTTTTGACCTATTTTAAAAACATTTACAAAACTCATATGTTTCTCTACTAACTACTACTACAAACTTATGCAAAGGCCACCTGACTTAAGCCCATGTTTCTATTTTTTAACCTTTCACATAGTCATAATGAATCCTTTTACAATTAATGCATCATGCTTCCTAAGTTAACTTCAACCTCAAAATAAAAACTAACATCTTACATTGATCTCAGTTAAATCTCTGTAGAATTTCACCTCTAAACTTACAAACTTCCTAAAATGTATATGAAGAAGACTAGAAATGCAAAGGTTGAAACAATAATGAAAAAGGAACAAAATTTGAGGATACTCTCGGAGTTTAAGATTTTATATACTCATTAAAGTTCTAGGGAAGAAAACATAGGAGAAAAATCTTCAAGACCTTAGATTAAGCAAAGATCCCTTAGTAGTGACACCAAAGTTATGATCTATAAAATAAGTCATTGAGCTGGAGAGATGATTTGGTGTTTAAGAGCACATTCTGCTAGAGGACTCGATTTCAGTTCCCAGGACCCATGGTAAGCAGTTCTGAACTACCTAAGTCCAGCTTACAGAGGATCTGATGCCCTCTTCTGGCCTCTGTGAGTAACTACACTCACATGCACACACCTAAACAGACAAAAAGCATAAACTTTTTTTGATCTGTACAAAAACTCTAAGACAACTTCATCAAAATTAGGAATTCTGTGCATTGGGGATGTAGATCAGTAGTAGGGTGTTTGCCTCACAAGTACAAAGCTCTGGGCTAGGTATCCAGTATTATACATGTATTCACATACATATACATGATAGGCTTATTGTCTGTAAATTCTATTCTATTCTATTCTATTCTATTCTATTCTATTCTATTCTATTCTATTCTATTCTATTCTATTCTATTCTATTAATTTCAAACTAGGAGAAAATTCACTAAGTGACCTTTTTCAGCTAAATACATTGTAAATGTGCCCTTTATTTCCTTCTAACTTCTGTCTCCTCTCATTCATTCTGTTCTAGTCACATTGGCAGCTGTGCTGTTCTTCAGCACACCAGTCCTAGGGCCTGAATGTTCACCATGACTCCAGCCTGTAATACTTTGTGACCTAACTTTTCTTACTGTGGCTTACAGTGTTAGAGATTGTGCTCTTCTTTCGTTCTTCCAGCATTCCCACTCTCTATATATCAAATTAATGAGGATACATTTTCCTTCATGTATTTTAATGCCATGGCCTTTTCTTTTACCCAACTAGAATATTAATGTCCATTTAAGAAGACATTTTTTTGTGCTTTATCTTCTTTGTTCTTTTCCTATCATCTAAAACAGTGCTTAATACAGAAAAATAATCAGGAAGATTTCATGGAATCGATATTAGTTTTAGACTGTTTAACATTGTAAATTGTTATTTGCTACATACTTATAGAAGCACAGAGTATAACTTACATGTATTTTTTTATACATGTGTGCAAATGTATTAAGCCAGTTTTTGGTAAAAGAATATATTTATCTGTTTTCCTGTTTGTTGAGACAGGATTTTTCTATGCAGCCCTGCTGTCCTGGAACTCACTGTGTAGACCAAGCTGGCCTCAAACTCAGAGATCTGCCTGTCTCTGCCTCCCAAGTGTTAGGATTAAAGGTGTCCATCACCACCACCTGGCTATTTTCTGTTTCTTAAAAAAATGAAATTGTATAGAAACAGCCTTCTATAAGCATCTATTTTCAGTACCTAATTTCACTTTATAAAAATGTCCCTATTTCTCATTGTTCAGATGGAATGCTTTAAATAAGAATCTATTTTTAACTCAGAAGACCAGCTTTATTTTGTCACAAACCCAAAATAATGCAAATAAAAAAAACTGTATTTATTGAGCAAACCAAGTGAAGTTTAACAGTGCTGTTTACAATGACTGTTTGAGTTTAGGTGTCCTTTGTGTCATATTATAGAAGATGTTTGCTTACACAAGTCCTTTACATTTAGTCTATTTGATACTAGACTACTGCTGTATTTTTTTTTCCTTTTGTCAGTGAAACTTGGTTATTCAGACCCAATGCAGTAGTCTCTTCTTGGTTTCCCTAGTGTCTCTTCATTGGTTTTCCCAGTGGTCCACTAGTGTGGGATATGAGGTTTGCTTTCATTCTGTAGAAAAGCCATGGAGACTGCTTACATTGGGGAGCAGATATTGTCTGCAAAATGAATAGACTAATGGGCTACTGTTGTTTATTCTCCTCTGGTATAATCACTTGCATTCAGACAATAATGTAGCATCTGTTACTGCACGAGGAAATGTCAAAATAGAAAGCAAGCAGACAGGTGCATTAAAGAGAAAGCAGGAGAAAGCCAAGAGACACTGAGTCAGTTCTAATTTGAGTATGTAAAGGGAGCATTGTAAGCAATTACCGTTGCAACTGTCCTCAGTTGTTCACAGTGTTGTGTTCAACATAAGGCACTTGCCACCAACTAAGTGCTGACCGGGTATCACTTTCCAAATACTGCTGTGTTTTATATAAGGGCTTTGCCAGGAAGATGTTGTGAGTTTGGGAATCAAACTCAAGTCTTTGAGTGTGCTAGGTAAGTATTCAACTACTAAGCTACACCTTTTCTCTTACATGTGTGATTAGAAAGGCTGTTACTTGCCTAATAGCCAGTATTTCCTTCTCTCTGTCATAACAGAAAGCCTACATTCCTAATGATGTTAAAAGCTTTTGTAATGTAGTTATTTGTTTAGGTGGGACATTTGGAAGTCAGAAGACAACTTATAAAAGTCAGTGATCTTCTTCTACCATGTAGGTTCCAGGGATTGAACTCACATCGCAAAGCTTAGTGTCATCAAATATCTTTCCTTCTGAGCCATCTCATTTGCTCAAGTTAATGGTTTTTAAAACTGGCTCTTTGAAGTCAGGATAGTGATGGGTTTTAAAGACAGGGAGTCCCTAGGTAAAAGAGATGATCTGGGATACTTGATCAGGTGCAAATTTTATAGGTATGTAATGTTCTGAAAATTTATCAAATATATAATATTTAGGCACTTTTTCTTATGTGTGCTACTTTTTAATAAAAAATTTAAGCAATTCCAAATTCATGGTTAAACAAAAACATGAAGTTTATTATAATATCAGTTTACATATAAAACAATTAAAATACAGACTTTTCTAAAGACATGCATTAAAACTAGTAGAGATTATTTAGGATGAGGAAAAAGCCTTAGAAATAGTAAGAGCTACACAAGATTGTGAATGTACTTAATGCCACTAGAGTGTACATGTAAAATCAGTTTAAATGGGGACAGGTAAGATGGCTCAGCAAGTAAAGGTGCTTGCCCTCAAGCTTCATGACCTGAGTTCAATCTCCAGAACCCATATGGTGGAGAGAATCAGTTCCTGCAAGTTGTCCTCTGGCATCCACATACATACCATAGCACTCAGGTACCCACACATATACATACGTAACACACAAAACAAATACATAGTTTTAAGTTGAAATGTTTTTATGTAATAGACATAAGCATTCATGTGTCTTCATTATTTTTCAATTTTTTAATTATTCTTTTCTACTTTCTCCCCCACCCATTCTCCATAAGTCCATCTATCCCCCTTTTAACGCCTAATTTTGTCTTTCTAGGCCATCAGACTCTCCTTAGAACAAGCCCTGCCTCCAGAGCCACAGGAGGAAAATGCTGAGCCTGTTAGCAAGCTTCGGATTCGAACCCCCAGCGGCGAGTTCCTGGAACGGCGTTTCCTGGCCAGCAATAAGCTCCAGATTGTCTTTGATTTCGTGGCTTCCAAGGGATTTCCATGGGATGAGTTCAAGTTACTGAGCACCTTTCCTAGAAGAGACGTAAGTTCCCTTCCTGTCCCAAAGAATGCTTTCAGCTCAAGGGGACAGAAGAAGGAAGCCATGAAAAGCTGAGTGGTGTGGGCCACTGTAAAATTCTCACAAGATCTTCATGGTTTCCCTCCTTGGCTTTTTGGAGGTTGGGTTTCCTGGGCCAGCGGATGTGTCCAGAAGCCTATGTTAAAAATTAGATTTTAGATCTTTCTTCTGTCACTACTTTCTAGATGTATAACTAGCCTAACAGGCTTTCCTAAGGTCTCGTCTTTATATACATCAGGGTGTGCTAAGAATGTGCTTAACAGCTTCATTATTGGAATAGAGTCAACACAGTTACAGTTTCACTAAAAGATGCATTGTGTTAAGCTAAGATCACTCTGTGATCTGATAGTGTTACGAACCTTGAGGATGAATGTCTGTAGTCATAGTGTGTATTATAGCAAAATAGTTAATAATTTTATACTATTCTGGGGTAAAGTAGAAATGTACAGATACAATCACTGATGCTTAAGTGATTGTATACTGAAAATGTTGCCTATCATCTCCGTGGAGGAAACTGACAGGCTGTGTATTATTTAATCCTTTGCTGTATACCATATTTATTAACATCTTAAATATTGAAACTAAGGACAAAGTAGCATTTTATGGATTTTTATGAAAGTATATGGAGGTTTATACCTCTATATTGAATTAAGGTAAATATATACTCGCAGTGTGTTATGACTGACAACAGAAAAAATAGCTGCATTTTTAGAGGTGTAAGCCTGGCTAACTAAATGGTCCTTTTCAACTCAGCCTACACTAAAATAAACTAACCCTGAGAGAATTCTTAAGCTTCATGCTCAAACAGGAAGTCTAAAATGGGAAGAGCCTGTTTAGAGTCCAGGGCTAATAAGGAGACAGGAGATAGTGTCTTTTGAGGAAATGTTCTCTGGAAAAGGAAAGACCTTGGGAGACACTGAGACTGTCTTCAGCTTCTAAAGACTTGCCATGACAAAGATTCTGATTTTTTTGTAAGAATCAGTGCACAGACCCAGGACCAGTGAGCTGAAAGAGGAAGTGTTTAGCAGACTCATTTTCTGCACCTTCACCAGTTGAGGGTCTGTGTAATCAACATCTACTGCAAAAGTGAAGCTGCTCTGATAAAGGCACAAATCTATGGGCCATACAACCAAGAGTGTACTGGAAGCACAAACTGAACCTTATGATTTTAAGGGGGAAGGGACAGACACCCAAAGTTGGACAGGAAGGGGAAGGGAATCTGGGAGTGGTTAGGGAGGAGTGAATATAATCAAAAATACATCACATAAAATTCTCAGAGAATTAATTAAAAAGCCTTTTTATAAAGGAAGTTAAAGGAGGCAGATTTGGCCTGATTTAAGGAGGCATTTTCTAGGAAAGAAGTATCTCATGACTGAAGTATTGATTTTCCTATCTTTATAAAATAGCAAGAACTGCTAAGTGGTGGTGGCACTTTAATCCCAGCACTAGGTAGACAGAGGCAGAATGATCACCAAGTTTAAAGCCAGTCTGGTCTATAGAGTGAGTTCTAGGACAGCCAGGACTATACAGAGAAACCCTGTCTCAAAAAACCAAAAAAAAAAAAAAAGAAAGAGCAAGAACTACTCTTTTGACCAGTGTCCCTGCTTTACATGGAATGAGACTTGCTCAACTCTCAACTTGTATCAACTAAGATACATAATAAATCTTATTTTTTTTATTCTGATGTGACTTTATTTAACATATCAGAATCAAGAGTTTGGCCAGGGCTTATTGTCCAAATCCTTCACATTAATAGTCAATTTTGCAGGATAGAATCAGAAACCAGTGGTGTATTTTTAGCCAACTACCAAGCCATAAATCATCTCTAGATAAGATGAAGATCCTGCCTCTTATATCTAATAAGTTCAGGAAACTAGAGTGGACATTAAGTGGTAGTCGTTAGTCCTCCCTTCTCTCACTGCTCCCAACTACTGCTCCAAGCTCTTCTCCTTCATTATGATGGATACAGACATGCCTGGGTATGTTTATACCACACAGCCAGATGTTGGTAAAGAAACTACTGCCAAAGGTCTAAGATAATAGTGAGTTTGGAACTCACTATGTAGCTCTTGCTCTCCTGAAACTCATTCTGTATACCAGGCTGGCCTTGAACTCAAAGTTCCACCTCTCAAGTGCTAGGATTTAAGGAGTGAGCCACTACACCCGGCTGAAATTAATTTTTAAAGTTAATTTTGTTAGGATTTGAGATTTATTTCTTTTTATTGTCTTATGAGTATGGATGTTTTACCTGCATGTATATGTCTGCACCACATGCATGCAGTGCCCAGGCTAGAAAAGGGCATTAGTTCAGTGACCCACCAGATGAGTGCTGGGAATTGAACCCTTGTCCTTTTGAAGACCAGTCAGTGCCCTTACCTGCTAAACCATCTCTCCAGCTATTTATTTTTAAAAGAAACTAGATTTTCTCTTCAGCAGTAACCACTTCTTCCCACAAGACTGAAATATTACTGTTGAAAAGAAGCAGGGGTTCCCTGGCCTGCTGCCTACATGCCTTGAACTTCCTGTCCAAGACTCTAAGTACTGAAAATGCAGGCTGTTGTCAATGTGGGCCAGCCTGAAGTGGAGCACCCACCACCTAGTCTTAACAGAAAATATACTAGGTTAGGAGTACATTGTTTTTCATTGTCAAAGAAGGCTATTCAGTGATTTTCTTCTCAGTGTCTCACTTAAACCTAATTTTGTTTCAGATTCAACTCCTTATTTCAAGACCAATTGTTATCAAGTTTGGCCCAGTTTCTTAGGGAAAATATTGACCTAGAGACACTTAGTCAACCTGAAGTTAGCCACCAAGTTCCAAAGCCCTGCTGACCGTGTCCTTTCTTGCTTAAGATTCTGAAGTAGTTTCTGCTCCCTAGTATAGTACAAGTCCCTTTGGGGAAGTTGAAAACTTACCAGTCTAGTCCTTTACTACATTTGCAACCTGGTTTCCATCAGCAGGGGATAGGAGATTGCTGATGATTCACCCAAGGCACAGACACTCTTGTGCCTCTTAACATCCCCTTCAATATTCACCCTCCCCTCACCTATTTGAAGTCAAGTTTTAATGCTAAGCTCAAACATCAACCTCTCTGCGGAGGCCTTCGTCTCCCAATCTGTCTACTATTGCAGCTTATGCATTCTTTCCTTAATAGTACTTGGCCATGCTGTTCAATAATGACTATAGAGGCAGTCCATATCACAGCCACATCCCTCTCTGCTACAGTTCTTACCACAGTGCCTCATAAGTGAACTTTTGGTAACTGTTGTCAAATGTTGATAACCTCAGGCTCTCCTAAATCTCTTGTTCCTTAGTGAGCTGGAAAGACTATTCCAATTCACAACAGATGCCCTAGGCCCACCCAGATTCCAATCCTAAACCCAGAAAGCCCAGGACTCTAGGCCTTTAGAGTCATAGATGGGCTGACAGTTAATGACACTTCATCCCTCTCTGAATGCTCTTTCAAGTCGAATGACTAGTGTTTTTACAAAGCTCTCTGTAATAGCCATCTGAGTCTACAAGGATTAGGATCTAATTTGTAAAAGTCATCTCAAATTACAGCCAAACTAAAGACTGTTAAAAAGCACATCTTAAGTCCTTGCCTCTTTAATAACAAATAATATAAGACTTAACTATAGGAGTCTTATTGTGTCTTGAGCCTTTTTCCACAAAGCAAAGGCTGGTTTCTCACCAAAGGATCTATTAAATGCTCTTCTGTGCCCCTGTCTCCCCCAACAATGAAAACATTACATCATATTAAGATTTCCCAGCTGTCCCACTATTTGCTGAATGTCTGCTGGCTATTATACTTCGCTGAACTGAGCACTGTGGGATAACCAAAGTAGCAGCAGGCACAGGCCTTCCCCAGAAAAGCTGATTGTCAAAATGGTTTAGAGTGTGTTTTGTTTGCATTTTGTTAGTAAAAGTCACCAGGAGAGAGGATAGTATTTCCTTCCAGAGCTTGAGTCAGTATGCTATACTGTTAGTAGCACAGACTGCACTGGCCCATTTGCCTCTTTCTTGGCATTGTCCTGTGAATGAGTCCTAAAAGATGAGTGAGTTCCCCTCTGCATCTGTAGTAGCCCAGAGAGTCTTTCCTAGACTTTCTTTCTCGTGGTGTAAGGTTGTCAGTAACACACACCCTTCCTTTTCTGTCCTATTTAGGTTCTTCCTATAGCTTCCTTTCTCCTTCCTTCCTTCCTTCCTTCCTTCCTTCCTTCCTTCCTTCCTTCCTTCCTTCCTTCCTTCC